TTTTTTTTTTGCTGCTTTCCGGTTTTTGCCTATGCTTCTTTGCAGTTTCCCAGCACTTGTATATAGTTTGATTGCAAATGCAAAGAGAACTTTGTTTTCTTTTTGTTTAGATGTTACTTGTCACAACATGTTAACGGTTCCACGAGAGTTGCCAATAAATTCAACACTATAAGAACATTATATTTGCTTAGACTGCAATAATAGTAAGTAACCAAAATTTTTTTTAAAATTTTTAAACAGTACACAGAAATCCCGAATACCTAACAGTAAATATTTGCCGATTTAAACAATGAATATCCTTTAATAAAACGACTATAAAGTCAATACTTCAATATGATGACTATAAAGCTGCTTATTATTTATCCTGCACCTTAAGCTTTACTTTTGAAGATGAAAAAAACTATAAAGAAGATATTTATGTATCGATAATTGTAGGTAACAATAAATGGATAGGTGAAAGAATAAAAAAGATTAAAAACGACCTGCAAAAATCTTGAAAAGCACAATAAAATTTTCACCAAGTAGGTCAAATGCAGTAGCAAATTCAGCAATTAATAGTGGAGGTATAAGATAAACTAACTGCCCACGTTATCAAAACAAAGTAACTGCAAAAGGAAGAAGATTGAAAACATTATCAGAGGAATCTTATTTGCTAACACCAACAGTTTTTCTCTTCTTTGTTTATTTTTTTATTTTTATCTTTATTCTTTCTTTTTTCTTCTACTATTTCTTTTAAACAAGACTTTTCTATGACAGTTAAACTACAGAGTACCGAAACATTAAGAATAAATCGATTAGCAAATATAAAATTACGATAAAACATATGCACATAGCTAAGTCTTGGCAAGTTTGTGGCAAACCAAAACACACATACACACACACAAACACAGAAAAAAATTTAGCTGAAATATAGCATCGAGCAGTTGTTAAGACTATTCGTCAGCAATCGACGTCAGTAATATGTACCAAAGCAACATCAGTGCCAAACTTTTTGCACTCGCCGATCATCACTTATAACAAAAATAGTTTAAAGTATAATAAATATGCTTTTCTTATTTAATACTTTAAAGCTTTCCTTCTTGTCCACATATCATACAGGCAATCAACTGCAGTATTTTAATAAATTTCTTTTCTTCTTTAAAAACTACAAATAATTACTTTACTGTTTGTTACCATTGATATCGTTTGCAAAATTTTCTATCTTTATAAAACTACTGTTTAATATGTTCATTCAATAATTGCTGGTCACTGGAACATTATTGATATTTGAAAGGAATTTAAAGTTTCATAATCATATTTGTTTCATTTAATCAAAATTAAAATATATGTAACGTTACTAGTAGATTTTCAATAAAAAGAAAATGATTCTGATATACCGCCGAATGTTCAAGTTCATTTGTCTATGTCTGCTTCTAAAAATTGGAAATTTTTGTAAACTTTTATTTGCCATGCATCATTGTAAAAGCTGCAATAAACATCTGCTTGAACCAAACAGGGATAAACTAACTACTGATCAGTATCAAATGTATGTCTCAGACACGTTACAAGTCAACAGTTTCTCTGCTACGGATATGACAAACGTGACGGTAAAGTGCACCGGAAGAATTCTACAAAACCTTTGGTTAGCAAAATTGTTGCTACAGCAGTCACTCAGCAATTGTTCCGCAAAAATAATCTATCACACCTTTTCATCACCACCCTCTTTCCACCTTCGCTTTTTTTCTGTACATTTTTAAAACAAAAAAAAAAAGTACCATTAATTGTTTTACGTCTGAACAAGTGTTACATTTATTCATAACTAGAAAAAACTTTAATTTTTTTAGTTACGAAAAAGTGCACTTGAACGTTGCGGCTTTACTGATTTCTGAACAAGACTTTTGAGTATGAGAATTATATTCAAAAAAATAAAAGTAGTATTTAAAAATGAAATTTAAAAAAAAAAAAGAACTTTATCAAAAAATACTAGAAAATAAACAAATTAGAATGAAAGCATTTTAGTGTTGCAAAACTTTGTCAACAGTTTTGCATGCTACAGTTAACAAAAAATATAGTAGCTGAAAATAGACTGCAGAAAATACTCAACAAAAATTTCGAAAAAAAAAAATTAAAATAACCAATTTCAATATGTCCAGTAAGTTTTTAAATGCAGGAGATAATTTGCAAGATAAACACTAGTGCAGTTATGATCAAAACTACCTTAAAAACTAAATTATCATTTACAACACCTTTGCAGTTTACCTGTTTCAAAGAATAGACTGCCTACTTTTACATTCACAGTCCTCCAACTTAATACAGCTGTGGTAAGAAATAATGAAAACATTCACTTTATTTTCCGGAAACTTAATCTTTATTGCCATCTTTGACTCGACAAATCTTCAACAAAAAACAGGCACTGTTTATAATCTTATCGTTAAGCATACATTGGTTACCTTAGTACCACAAAATGTAGCTGCTTTATAAAACAATGCTAGCACAAAAACTGCTTATTTCAAGCAAAACAACCAAAAATATTACTTTAAACTCGGAAAAAAGCAGTTAAAAACTCAACTTTTAACAAGATTTGTTCAAGCTACCAAGCACCCACTGGCCACACCATAACTTCAATTAAATTTTTTACACTCTGCAGCAGTGAGTCAAAACTCCCATGATTTTGAAGGAATATCTAATTGACTTGGACATAACGCAGCCAAAAAATCCTGATCCTAAGGAGTTTCCTAACTTGGTTCCCTAATAATGCACCTTCAAGTGTCACATTAGCACGAAGGGATGGTTCCGTAGAACAAGGTTAAACTACGGACAACCTCACACGAAAACACAGGAAATCAACTTCATCCTAATCTACTTTAACCATTGCCTCCCGATCACACTGAATGATCCAAATCTTGCCTTGGTTTGCTCCGTTGCAAATCGAAACCGATTTAGGAAACTCCATCCGTACTTTTTTTTGTCGCAGTTTTGCAGGCAACGACCTAAGCATCCAGTGAGCATAAAATTTGTCAGCTTTTAAACAGTTGTGAAAATTCCAAGACGATTCTCACAAAAATCCAGAAAACCCTTTGATTTACTAATAAAAATTTGTCTCCTTTGACTCACAAGGCATAAAACGGTGGCCTGCCGTGTTAATATCTTTGGCAACTTCCTTATTTTCTTTAAAATACTTGATCAACTCATAAACTGTCCTCTCTGACAGCATGCTCTTCTCACAAACTCCCTCCAAGGTAGTAAAATTACTCGCCGCATCTCACTCAAATTTTTTCAAAAACAAGATTATAAGAAAAGAAAAACTTGCACTTTTTCGCAAAACTCAACCTTCTAAATTATCATTAAGTCTCTTCAAAATGCAAATTAAACCAACTGTTTCAAAACAGTTGAAAATACCTTCACAGTTTACAGAAACCACAAACGAAATAGTTTACACGACTGGTCAAAAAATTATGCTATCACCGGTAAGGCTTTCTGACCCATTTATTTATATCTCAAAGCCGTTTACGCATTAAATCTGCATGTGGATAATTCCTTATCCATGTAGCCCAATTCAGCATTAATTTGCTGAAGGTCCAGTTCTTCCACATCATGTCCGCTGAAAAAGTTTAAAAACCGCTTATTAAGCGCGACTGCAAATAATAGTGAAGCCTCAAAAATCTAACCAAGAAACAACAAAGTTATTTCTTCCTCTTGCCGCCATCCGGTCTGCAATAATCAAAGGGGCTGGAAGAGAACAAGGTTGGTTCACAATCTGCAGATTAAAAGCCAACGCATAAACCATCCCTTGCACTTCGTCTGATGAAATGCCAGAGGTATCGTATAAAACATTGTACCTTGGCGTCTTTGCCGTACCCTAAAACAAACTAATAACATCAAAGTAAACACTCTAAGACATACCCCGCCAACCTGGAAAGTGGCATGTGCATTCAGATAGAATTCGTTGTATACAGGATTCACAATAGTTCGGTCAACAACTGTTCCTGGAGGAATATTCTGGTCGAAAATCCGATCGTCTGCACGTATTTGCTAAAACACCAAACCATCAAATCAAAAGACAAGCTAAAAAACCCTATCCTTACAGCTAAATGACAGAAAAAACAGCTAACTTTCCTATATATACGAAGCTGATGTCTCTTGGTTGCCACTATAAATGTTATCTTTGGCTGATATGTTGGGCCCCCTGTACAAGCGCACGCATCTTTAACCTGCTGCACTTCCTTCTCCACGACCTAGTCAAGAAAAAGAAATTAAAAATAACACAATCCTATGCTTCTTACCAAAAAAATTACTCTTGTAAAAAACACATACATATTTATATAGACCTTCCGAGATGCCGTCTCTTAAAATGATTACGTGCGATGGAAGCTTTCTGTTCTTTTTAGTAAGCTGCAGCGATTCAATGACAAGGTCACGTAAGACCGTTTCGCCGGCACAAAGCTAGATTAATTAAAGTTTATAATTCACTTCTAATTTAAAAAACCACATCTTTAAAAACAAACGAAAAACCATATATCTTAAATTAAAAAAAAAAAAGAAAAAACACCTCTTCCCTCACAGTCCATCCAAACCGATAACCTCCAATAAAATCAAGAGGATGAGAACGACAGTTAGCAGCATACTAGAATATTAAAATAGCTAACATATTTAATAATTTAGACAATGAAAAAATTTCTAAACACAAGTTAGAAAGCAAAAATGAGTCAGAATAACAGCAAAGCTAAGAACACTAAAAAAGCCAACGTCATATTCAAAGAAATGAAATCACCCCCAATACGGAAGGATATCGATCTTCACTGTTCCTTGATGAGCTTGTGAAGGCGATATCTATTCCAATTACCAGACGATCAAGGCGACTAATCCAGTCTTGTGCCCTAAGACATCGAAATTAGTGTTAAAAAAAAAAAACAAAAAAATCAAAAACATACTTCCGTGACTCAAGACGAAGATCGAAATTCAGACCTCCCAGCTTCAAATTAGTTTTATGAATAATATTATCAAGCATTTGTGACCTTTTACGAGCTAATGCTGCGTTTTTTGATAGAAGATCCTGAGTGACTATTTGGTACTGGCTTTCCAAATATTTAATTTTTTCTAAATAAAAGACGACATAAGAACATAAAAAAATTCTTACATCAATTACATTGTTACATCGTCTGCATTATTTATCCTCATATAAAGTTGAAGTTGTTGAAATTTGCAATTGAAAACAACAACTCAACTTAATTACCATGAAATTTCAAATTTCCAGAAGTGACAAAATGGAGAAATTTTATTTTGTTTTTTTGAGCCCTGTCAAATGCTGCATTCGCGTCGGCTTCACTAGCATTAGCAAAAAAATTAAATTCTATCGGATTCGCCAATTGAATCCCACGACTGCGACAACGACTCACAAATATCCTGACGTATTCCCTAAAAGAAATAAAAGACATCGACGATAATTACTGTATAAAGCTTCTATCAACCATAAAATTAATACAAAACTCTAAGTCAGTCCTACTGAATCTGTCGTTGGCACTAACTAGCGCTACTACCATCCACTTCTCGCAAACCGCCGGCACAAGATAATGTGTGTTCTGTGCTATCGTCCATACACCCTAAAAAGCAAAGTAATCACTGGAATAAATCAACCTTCAAACCAAAAGTAATTCACGCTTTACAACAACTAGCACGTACAGATTCCTTCATCTGTACTTTGATATTGTTTCCGTAAACTGCAGTCGGTTTCTGAAGAACGCGAGCTTCTACCTGCAAAATACTACGGTGCAGATGGACTAAACGAAGATAAATAACGGGTCAGCAGTCTTCAACATGTATGCCCCTTGAGCATCTTTCAACTCAGATAAACTGAGCTACCATGTTAATTAAACATCAGGCATTTGAGCCGGATAAACACGCATTACCTCGCAACCTTCTTCGGCTACTTTTACTTGAAATTCTTTGCACCAGCGGTTGTCACTGCCACCCTTTCCAAGCTTTAGTGCATTAAGCATGTTTAAAGTCTGTCGACGTCTCAAACTTGGATATATCGCACAAGCCTGAATCTCGCACAAGTTACGCTTGACAATAAAAGGCGACTAAATAAAACACCAACCTTGATCATCTGCTGTACTTGGTTGGAAGACTGCTGCGTGAGTGTGACGCGCTGGTTTTCACAGATATAAAGAAGTTCCATGGGATAGTAGTTAGCTCCTTTTGGAGTCTTCTCCAAAATTAATGGAAATTGTGAAAATCTTAATTTCACGTTATATTTTTCTCTGAAGTACTGGATTAGACCTATCATTTTACCATTTCTGTCAACCCTAAAAAAAACATTTTAAATTAACAGTGATTTTTTTCAAAAAATTGCTAGATCTGACTCAAAGTTTCACCTTTGCTTTTCTGCAGACTGGTCTGAAATACCAGCTATACAAAATATCCTCTGTCTTCCGTAGCCGCAGCGAACGTAAAGACCTATAAAACAGGAAAATCACTACTACAGATTGATTACCATAAAATTTTAAACTTCCAGAAGCAACATAACTCAAGAAGTGAAAGAGGTTACCCTTCAACATTTTTGAAAGCAATTTCAAATAACTGCCGCCAATTTTTCCTCCATCCGAAACCCCGCAAACAGCGATTGCTTTATCAGCAACTGACTGTAACTCGACATGGAAAGCCGCTTTCTTCACTGGAAAACGAAAAGAATAAATTTAAAATTGACAGTTTTTCACAACAAAGTGTTGAAAAAAGTATTATTTTTGGAAGAAGCACTAAAGACATACAGACTCTTCCTCAAATAATTCATTTAGCAAAATGCTAACGGTAACATGAAAAAAACTCTTCAATTTACCGTCTATAGTGACTGATACTGTGGGTTTTTTCTGCAATCCTTCAACAATTCTTACAGCTTTTGATGCTCCAATACCCACATATTTACCTTCTGGCAAATCTGGCATGTCATCCCTATTAAAACCGAAATCCCTTGGCTCGTATAAATAGCTCAAACCGGAACCATATGAGACAAATCGACCTCTACAATACGACTGTATAGAACGAGTCCAAAACGAAGTTGCAAACAAGGCACTCACTCGGTGAAAAAAGCTTCCTGTGACAACAATAATTCATAAAATTGTTGCAAGCTTCGATTGATTTGATCAGGATCCAAATTGAAACCGGATTTGAAATCTTTTGACGTTAACTGGAAGTCCTCGTCGCATTGTTTAATCTTCAAAATTATACAGCATTGTGAGAAGGTGGAAGGCGAACGTAACTTGAAAAGACTAGAAAGTACGAGATGATTAAAAAAAACTTGAAACCGTGAAGTTAAATACATACAGTTATGATGACTTTACTGTGTTCCTCTGGAAACACATCCTTAGGTAGATTTTGCTCGATAACAAATCTCTTCTCCTAAAAAAGCTTAAGTTAATTACCAAAACGCACGTTTCTAAACTAAAAATGAAACAAGTAAGAAAGTAACCTCTCCTGCCTCTATACTGAGTTTATCCAACGCATAAAGAATTGAAGCACGATCGTAGACATAATTGCTAATGTCACCAAAAAACTCATTTTCCTGTTCGATGAGTATTAAGTAAGCCGTAACACATTTGTTCTTCCGATGTATCGAGAGAAAACTGAAAGACATTTGTAATCCACTAGCAAAAAAGATTAAGAAAGCTATTTTAATTTATAAAACTTGTTAAAACTATTAGACAGCAAAAAGGTAGGGGATACAAGAAAATTTATTATAAATATGCGGCTTCCTTATATCAACGTAACAAATAAGTACAACCAAAGGATGACAAGGAACACAAAAAGTTGTAATTCGGCAACTAGAAATTCTTACGCTCCTTGTCGGAAACAAATATATTGACGTACATTCCACAAACTGCCATAAAAAATAATTTGAAAGAATGGAAAATGAGATGCAATGGGGAAATACACAGAGAAAAGAACACACTCGTTGCGAGATTGCTTAGACACTTCCTTCGAAACAGCGTCACTACCAACTTTCGAAGGATACTCCTCTTCAACTCTGAAGTTATACCGAAAAAAAGGAAGTTCTTTCAACGGACTGATGGCGAACAAGTTGGTAAGTACGTGGATTTTCTTCTCACATCTTTGTCCTGCAGGAGGCTTCCCAGAGAGAAGAACTTTTGAGGCTCCTCGAGTTTTCTAAAAATAAGCATTATCATCAGTGACAAGGACACACGAGGAACATTTGCGCAGATTAATGTAATCAGAACTTATTACAAGGCAGAAAAGCAGAAACCAAATTACCGTCAAAAAAAAAAGCAGGTAGTTGTTTCTTCAACGACAACTTTAAAAAGTGAAAATCGAATGTTAAAAAAAAAGTATAAAACTACGACTACTCAATCACTTACCAGCATCGGCCATAAACCTGAAAAACGGCAATTTTTTAAAATATGAAACAAAAAATATACAAGACCTTTAGACGATCAATTGGCTGGGGACAAAAACGCAACGGTGAAAAAAAGCGATAGGTAAGACAACACCTACAAAAAAGCCCAATACGCCCTTGTGGATAGCTGCATAATTAGCATCAAGAGAGTTTAGCTAAAGAACACCATCAAGGAAATCGAGGAAATCAGTATCATTACGATATTGTACACAGAACACTGGTCAAATAATTAACGAATTGCGCTTCTGGAAATAAAAATCATTTGATCAACCAACAGAGCAGCTGAAAGCCAAATTATAACTTCCAACTGTATGAAACTTCACGAAAGCAAACTCTCTGCCGTAACACGTATTCCATCACCCTTACTATCAGCAAATTAACTTCTATTCATTTTTGCTCTTTAAACACCTGAAGCTGCGAAACTCGATTACGCAGAAAAACGTAAATTTCACCCATCTTCTGGTAAAATGAGATTAGTGATAGGCACTAAGGCAGTGAACCATATGAAACAAGTCGAAAAGCTGAGTAGGTTTACGACTACTTAACATAGTGAAAACCGGAGGTCTTTCTCTAGGACAATTCATCTGAATACAGCACCAGCCACTTTTTGCTTAATCGAGTAGCAGATTTCTCTGGATCTCTGAAAAGTCAAGCAGTGCTTGTCCAAAACCCACTTGATACCGTTCAGTACCTCAATAACACGTTGTTTACTATCCTTAAACTGTTGAACTTAAACTGTTGAAAACCAGTGAAAGACATTAGTTTTTTGACTTAGAAGTCAAAAGGAGCTAGTTACAAATGTCCGAAAAGTAGCAACGTAGACTCCATCCAATTTCCCAAGCATTGTTAAAAGATCATAGCTCAAATAGACAAAAAACTCCTTGAATTCCATTCAGTTTGATTAGCTGAAAATGAGATTAGTGATAGGCAGTAAAATAGTAAAACCTATGAAATAAGCTCAAAATTGTAGAGCAAAAAGATAAAAAGTACATACGTAAATATACACATTTATCAGAAAGGTTTAGTAAACCTTAGTGGAAGGTGCACAGCTATAACATCGGTAAAACATAGCAGCAAATGTTGCAGCAGTGCTGAACACATTCCAAAACGGACATCTTCGTTCTCAAGAATTTCCGCAGCAAATTAAAGATGAACTCTCCAGTGCATTTTTACTCTTTCGGCCTTCAGATCATAAATAACAGACAAACTTTTCGAAACCATACTGAAATTTTTCCAGCAGCATATGTTTCTTATCAAAAAGAGCAAGAGGGGTGCTTAGAAATAAACCAAATACGTCTATATAAATGCTAGCTTTTCTCTGCCAAATTACACATTCTTTTCATTTGATATAACAGGTCGGTTTAAAATCAGTCGAAATGATTGGAAGAATACATGCAGACGTCCATCTCTCCACACCAAACCATAACCCATTAAAGTTGAATGAGATGCAATTTTTAGCTTAATGCAACGTCAGTTTATTTTCCGTAATTTACAGCTTTTAGCACTCTAAACAGGGCTTAAAAGTTACGATTTTTGGCAACCAACACCTTTCAATTACAAATAATCTTTTAGCTGTTTCCGCAAAAAAAATCAGTTGTAAAAATAACAAAAAGTAAATTTTCAGGCATGCACTGCTGAAAAAGTGGGTTATGCAATCACATTTGAAAACCGTACACAGTGCAGAGTTTCATTGCTCACCATATCTTAACATTTTAAGTTTATGCTTCGATTGAAGTCAGTAACTACTAAATGAAAAGAGAGAAGAGGCTGCACAAATTACGTTAAAATACAGTATTTTTGCCATAATGTACGTAAAAAACTACTGGACTACGTAAATTACGTAAATCTGCTGTATTTTTCAGCGACGTCATCTCAAAGTGTTGAGACAAACATATGATACGAGAAAATGGAGTATGTCGGTGTAGTTTTTTGCCATTCTTTTTGGCTAGCGCCTGATGACTATATCAGTGATTCCGCTTCCAAGTATGAGATAAATTTGGTTTCTGTAGAGTTCCTAAGATTTTCTTATATTGTATTTCAGAAGCAATACATCATGCCGGCATTAAGTTAGCCTTCGGTCTACAGAAAATACTTTTTTTTTTTTAAACAAATAAACAGCTTTTAATTGTTATTTTACTGCAAAACATAATTTTATTCTTTTTCTAATTATATATGTAAAAAAAAAAGACACTTAGAAATTTTTCTAGTTTCAAATCTATAAATCACTAAATCTTCAAAACTAATTAATTTTGTATGCAAACGAGAAAAATACAGAACTTTAGATAGGACTTAATTGTATTAACGATGAACTTATTTGCTTATCGCTATGATAAAAGTTCTTAACGTAGGATGAAACAATTATTGGTTTCGAATCAGTAATTTAATTCAAAAGTTCTTTACAAGGTTACGGTTGATCTGACTTCATAATCAGAATCATTTTGTAAGTCAAGGAGAGCGCAGAAATTGTTAACATTGTTGTAAGCTTTGCAACGACTTGAAAAAGTACTCTTCCAGAAAAAAATCTGTACCACTGGATTTGCACACTATCAAATTACTTTTTGCATTTTTAAAATTTTGTCAATTTCTTACGTGGCTATTCTTCACGGTCGTGTGCACAGGTCTCAGGCTTTCAAAGTAACAAAAGAAAAAACCAAACGCGCAGAGCCGGAAAAATTTTCGTTTATCTTGGTCAGTTTAAGGTTGTCTTTCTGCAAGTATACATTTATCCTTAGTAAACTTTAAGGGTAAATTGAAGACATGTACATTATTGCTGCTACATTTCTTCAACTTGCTTTTTTACGAGCCACTAATCATTCGCTTCAAAAAGATGCTATAATACAACTAATTTCAAAAAGTTTCAAAAATGACTAGTAATTAATTTTGTCAAAACGATCGAATTCTAGTTTGAAGGAAACTAAAAGCATTAAAAAGCAGAAGCAGAAGTTCTGCAGCAGAAATTAAATATGCAGCGAATATCAGAATGATAGTATAATTGGTTCGCTTATGCGGTCATTTCCGATTTATCCGCTTCTTGTCCAAGAAATTACTTTTGATCAAGCTAATTTTTTCAACAAAAAATTTAACGAGGTAACTTAACCGTAATGATCATACCATAGCAATCTATTATTAAATGTTGCAGTAGAAATTGTACCTGGCTTCAATAGCCACTTTCCGTACAAATTTTCTATCGAAAGACAAGTCGTTTTTAGTTTCTAAACTCAATTTAGCAAATAAATATCTTAATTGGATTTCTCCTCTCTTGCAAAATATATGTAAGCCATAGCTTCGTTTACCTCTGCAGTCTGCTCTCTATTCGTAACAGAATTATAGCCTCTGAATAGGTACGTGCATCATTTCCCAAGTTGCCCGCAATTATTCCACCAGTACTTATCTTTTCTAAACTGTCTTGTACTCCCATATTTCTGCCTGAAATGTCTGCCTGTGCTACACCAATAGCCCAACTTTGTTAGTAACTAATGAGTCCGATCCCTTCTTAATGGCATAACCCAATTCCGATATCACAACAGGCAAAAGATACTGGCAATAGTCACGCACAAAAAGGGCTGAACTGAACCGATTATCCGCATTAACAGTGTAAATATTTTCAAATGTTCATAACGGTTAAACATTAAGACGAATTTGAGGCAAGTAGGCGATAGGAACAGTAAAAATAAGCAAAAGCAGAAAAAAAGAAAAGGCGAACAGGAAAAGAATTAGAAAAACAAATATTACAACGTGTCATTTATTTCCAATCATATTTTTAATTTTAACGTTCTTATATTTCTCTGTATTGACATATACTGTTGAACTTAAAGAGCATTTTCTTTCCTAAACAAAATAAACAAATAAACTTCAAAATCAGTCTGTGAAGGAGAGAGAAAACCTTATTTGTAACAAAAAAAATGTCCATTTAAATTCTGTACCAGCAGCTTTCGTAGCCTTTTATGTCCTTCTATACTCGTAGAGCCACACGACAGGCTTCGACGTACAATTCAGATTCATTAAGAAAGATAAGGAACCTGATTTCGTTGTATACAGTCTATGTCTACAGAAGGTGACAACTTAAAAGTATAAAAAATTTGTAGAACAGAATATGGATTAATCATTTTTTGATATTAATGTCAAACCAAATTGCAATACATGCTGGATCACTTCAACAATTATATGAAAAGACTTGAGAGGCAGTCAGAAATGGCTTACTGCAACGAAGGATTATTCAGTTTTGGAAATATAGATAAAATAGCAGAAAAAAATTTAAAGATTTAACACAAAGAAAAAGCTAAGAAACAGAAACAAATTGAAAATAGAAACCTGCGACCTATTAGGAAGCAGAAGTGATCCTTAGACAATGAAAGTAATAAAAGCGCTCTACGACGTAGTACCGTTATTTTCAGTGAACTAAAACTGATAAAAAAATTTGCCATTCAAGGTGCAAATGTTCTCTATTTCTGATATATACACAAGAACTTTGAATACTTTTTATGCCAAAAAATTAGCAAACACAGTCAGGCAATTAGACGTCATTTACTACTGTTAGTGTGATCAGTAAGCATACAACTATAGAAATGCATTGTTTATGAAAACTTAAAAAGTAAATAATAGTTATATAAAAATAGTAAATTTTCTGCAAATAATCTTTCAGGGCTTCCAAATAATGGACAAATCTGGCTGCTGTAATTTCTAAACATCATTAAGCCTCTTGTCTCCTTTTTATTGATGTATAATTAAAGAATTTTAATCAAACAGTTATTTAGGTTTGAAAAATCAAAAAATTATTATGCTTGTATAAATTTAAATTTTTGAACTTATGTAAGAAGACAAGTAATACCAATTGATAAATTGATAAGCAGTAATGTCCCCTATTTTTCCATCCCTCCTTCCTCCAAAAAAAAAAAAAAAAAAAAAAAAAAAAAAA